ATAGAAATGAAGAGCATTCTTTTAGGAAATCAACTGTATTTAAACCTTGAATTACGCAATCACAGACAATGTTTATTCCCACACCAGAAGTAATAAATGAAATGCAAATACAAAGAAAACACCCACCACAATCATATGAAAGAAATCAAATTATCACATATTGCAGTTATGTCAACAGTTACCAATACAGATGCTGCTTATAAAACACTTCTGATATATTCCACCAACTCAGCATCCAATCTTAATCTGCCCACACATCCACACATCTCCCAAACACTGATCACTTTTCAGTAACATCATGACTTCCTTCACTCTGTGTCTAATTTGCATGTTTCTCTTATTTAATTTGTTTGTTCTTTGTTGTGTAGGTCTGTTTATTTTTGTCATAATTTATTTCTCACATTGGGAATATGGTTATTTCGGGGGAATGAATCACACTTGTGAGCTTCTTTCATTCCTTTACTTTTACATTGATGTTTGTCTTTGCAAATAAGAAAAACTTAAATGTGCGTTGCCTGTAAAATATTTGCTGTTTTTAAGGCACCAGAGTTGATAGCTTTGTTATATTTGAGGTTAAAGTTGCCGTGTGTAAGAATGGAGTTAAAGGGATCTGTTGCCAGACATAAATAAAACGAATAATGATGTTTTCATTAATTTACAATCACCCAAATGTACAAAGTGTTGTGTTTTCATTACCCTATAGAATGAGCCCTATATATTAACATTGGGAGCAGATCTTCTTCTATGGAGGCTGTCATGTTGCACCACCATCTATATACAGTGGCCCAGAGAGGACAAACCAAACTCAAGACACCGTAGGCAAATTTGGTACAGACATTCACCTAGACTCTGCGTTGTTTTGAACAGAATATATAAGAAATGGCCAATGGGTAGATCCTGACATGTGCCACAAACATTCACTTGGACTCAGGGATGACCTGAATATAATTTGGGTGCCAAAGGTCAAAGAGCAAAGTCACTGTGACCTCACAAAGCACGCTTTTGTCTTGTAAACACAATATCTCAACACCTTGAGGGAATTCTTTCACATTTGGCACAATCACTCACTTGAATTTGAATTTCCTCTTGGTAGCCAAATGTTAAAGGTGAAGGTCATGATACATGATATCTGAAGATCCCCTGAGGGAATGTCTTCAAATTTGGTAGGATCCTTTACTTGGACTCGAAGATGAACTGATTAGATTTTGGTTCCTTGAGGTGAAAGGTCAAGGTCACAGTGAACCCCCCATGTCCCTGTAAATGTGATATAGTAGCACTGCCTGTAGAGAATGTCATCACATCTGGTACAAATCACTTGGACTCACTGATTAGCTGATTAGATTTCTGTCGTCTAAGGTCAAGGTCGCGTTGGCATACTAACATGTTTTTGGCCTCTTGAAGGTGATGTCTGCTTGAGGGAATTTCTTCAACTTTTGATCAGTTGTCACTTAGAGTCAAATGCAAAGTGATTATGTTTTAGTGGTCAAAGGTCAAATGTTTCAGTGACCTTATATGAATCTGGGTAAAGAAAGCATGTTGATATGTACGAGGAAACTGCACTGAGGGAGGCATACAACTGCAGTGCCGTAATTCTAGTTTTATCTCAGGGAATGTTCTGCCTTTACTTCACCTCACACTTCTGTCAAAAGAAGTAGCACCATAGCGGGACAGGACACCAGCGTTGTTATGTTACACATGACATCTTTCATTCAAGAACATATGTTATCTTAAATCACGCATGGTGGCATCAATATACTGGCTTTTTTAGTTCAGTGGAAGCAAGCAAATATAGCACAACGGCACAATAAAGGGTTTTCTTGATGGCAATTGGGCATAGGGGTTCTAATGGCTTTGTGACAAACTGTGGGCACAGGGACAAATATATGATAAATAGTAAATGGATTGTATTTATTTCTGTCACACACTATTCCTACACTGTCAGAACAGATGTCCGGGGCAATGTGCGGTTCAGCGTTATACCCAAGGACCCTTGCGGATACTGTAGGACTGAACAAGAGGGAGAGAGGGTCTATAATGAAAGGACTGGTTACATTATGCCGTAGGCTCGAGTGATAGGGTTTATTAAACTGTTACCATATTGTACTGAGTCCTGCAACTTTATGGACGTGCTAAACTAAATTGAAGGTATTTGGTCCTTTAAGGGTTGAACACTTTTAAATAGCCACTTTTTCATGACGTATAATTAAGAATGGTGGGATACCACCTGTTTTCAGTGCAGACTGTTTATTAGCCTCGAAATGATCAGCTTGATTTTGCTGAGGCAAGAATATTCCTGAAATCAAGGCAATTGCACGAGAAATTTCCCAGCAGTCCCACAGTCCGTTCAGAAAGAGCTAAAGGTTATTCGCGCACACGACCATGGCTTTTGTGGAGAGAGAAATGCCTTCTAGGATCCATGCGCGCAGGACCACTGCTCATCCCCGTGTGTGTGTGTGTGAGGGGGTGTATCAGGTGGGTATGGGGGGCAGCCTACAAAATGAGAGAGTGAGCAGCACTGGAGGAGCAGATGTGAGAGGAGTGGGCTGCTGAAGGGGCCAGTGCGCGCCGCGATAATTAGCTGCGGATACATTAACGGGAATAACCGGATTATGAGGATTTGAGAAGGACACGTTGCCACAGTCCGCTGTAGTAAAAAAACGAGGGGATTAAGTCAGGCGTCCTCACTCCCCCCCGGACCGGTCAACGTTATGGGGATAGACCGGCGGCGGAGAGCATCTCTGGCTCTCACCTTGAACTTCCTCGCCTTGTTCCTGGCCGTGTCCGCGCTCACCACCAGCTACTGGTGCGAGGGGACGCGTAAAGTGGTGAAGCCGTTCTGCACCGGCCCGGTCACCACCAAGCAGTCGTTCTGCATCAGGTTCAACAGCTCCAACATCAACGACACGCGCCTGGTGCAGTACATCTGGGAGACCGGGGAGGACAAGTACGTGATGAGGAAGTTTCACACCGGCATCTGGTTCTCCTGCGAGCAGAACATCAACATGACCAGTAAGTTTTGGCGGAGAGAGGCGCCGGGATCCTGCCGCTGCCGGGTCTGGAGCGCGCCAGAGCGCACGGGGCTGTGCGCCACGGAGCCACGTCCTTCTAGTAACCAGTGAAATAAGGCAGCTTCTCTCTCTCTCTCGTTGTATTCCCATCAAAAAACATCTCTAATCCATCTTTAACATAGTAATGCAGTTTGAGACTAATCCCAGAAATGAATTTGAAAGTTACACTTATTGGATCAGAGAAGTCTTAATCTCAAATCGTAACACCAAATCCTATAATACATTAATAAGAAACGGGTCTGGTGATGTAGAGGATTTTAGATGCAGGAATTTCATTATCCAGGATGTCAGGTAATCTTTTTTTTTTAATGTGCAAACTGACGTATCCAAATCGTTTGCTTCAAAAATAAAGATTATCATTAATTTAAGTATTTTAAACAGTATTTTTCATTACGAGGTATAAAGTGCTGCACATTAAGAAAACGAATGGTTAAATACATTTGGAAGTAATGGTAATAGTAATGATAGAGGTAAAAGATCTTTCCTTCAGTGGTGTCATAGAAAAGAAGAAAATATTCACATCTGAAAACCTGAAATCAGAGATTATTGCTTTGTTTTTGCTTGAGATCGTCTCAAACTAACCAGATTAATTATAATTGCCATTAACTCTCTGTCAAGCTCTGTCCTCTAATCATTTTAATGAAAAACTGGAAGGGAAAGCGAGATTAAATGTTGTATTTCATCCTCTAATCCACAGCTTTTACTGTGGTGTGTGAAAGCTGCCCATGTGATTTATGAGCCACTTCCAGATAAACCAGATGAGACCTGCACCTTCTCTAACTGGGGCTTCTGCAGCGTGTCTGTCTCCTGAGCCCCATATACCAGTTTGTCTCATTGACAGTTATAGAGTTTTTCGATTTGAAAATGCTGGTGGTAGAAGTACAGTGACAGTGTTTGTTATTGCACAAACAGAGGACAGAAATCCCTGCACAGTTTGGATCAAATGGTGATTTCTTTTTAATATCACAGTTTGATCTCTGAAAAGGAAATGGCCTTCCTGTGAAATCTATATTCCAATCTGGATGAATTATGGATCAGAGAGGAAGTCCTTGTCTCACTTATCTGCATGTTGCAGCTGAGTGGATCTCTTCTCCCTGAAGGGTCAGTAAAATGTCCAATCTCTTACAGGTGAAAACTGCAGAAGTTTCCTCTATGTTGCACCTTCAAATGAAAGAGGTAAGCATATATGTGAAAAACACTGTTGCATATACACATCTACCTACTAATTCCACAAACATCTGCCTGTGGAACACATATCCCGCGAGCCATTCAATTTATTTGCTTCATACTTGGCATGTGTATTGTAAATGGCCTGAGAAAGTGCAGTGACCAGTTTTGTGTGAAAAAAGAACATAACGCTCATTTTGTTGCTGCAATGCTTTATATGGATCTGATTATTGGAAAGTTGTAAACTTGGGTCCGAGGGTTGTGTCGATTGCTTAATCGACATCATCTAATGTATGAAAAAATTAAACCAGTGAAGGAAATCAGTCAAAAACATATAACACACATATGAACAGTAACAGAGCAATTCATTTTATTTATCAAATCTTCACTGTAGATAAACCAGGTGGGATGAACACACCGTTTTGTGACTCCACTATGAACTATAGACTTTTTGTAAAAAGCTCTGCACACAACGTCCAGCACATAAAACAATAAAAAAAAGACAGTATATTGTAGAAGTGTTTGAGGAGGACTAAAGGAATAATTCTGAAGTAGCTCCAGAGCATCACCACAGGCACCAGTGTTTGTAATGCAGCCTAAAAAGCACCAGGAAAAAATCCAGCTGGGTTTCTTTGGACTCTCAGACGAGGCTGAGAAGTTGCTCATAGACAGAAAAACAATCTCAATCTCTGGCTCTTTTGTTATAAAGGCTGTTTTGTGATGACTCTAACTAAGCTGCTTAGCGCTGCAGTGACAAGTGGACATTTTGCAAAAGGAGTTTAAGACTCTTTGTCACTGTGATGAAACGCTGGCCCACACTTTCCACCGGTAGGTTTTCCTTTATCAAACAGCTGTCAGAACATTATGCAAAAGCTGGAACTATACTCCTACAATCTTTAAGCCTACACATGGATTCAAAACCATATTAGTAGACCAATGAGAATATGTCCTTCATGCTGCAGGCAGTCAACATAGCATCCCTTGCTCCAACAAATAAATCCTCTTCTCTCTACTTCAACTGTAAAAAGGTCAACAGGCAAAGGCTAAATCATCCTCATTACAGTATGCTTGGTGTGGAGAGGCACAGCAGAGCTGTGGATGAACTGATCACTCACACTGTTTGGCAATAAGTTAAGTGGTGTCTTAACAAATCAATCAACTCTCGTGCCACATAATTAGTTCCTCCAGCCATCAGTGCACACACATAGTGGACAATTTGTAAAATCTATTGGAAATATGCACGTTTGCTTGATTTGCCAAGACTTACATTATAGAAGAACAATATAAATAGTGTACAAAGCATATAAGTGTATTCCCCACTATCACTATTGTATATATATCGCATGCTTGTTTTTATTATAATTTTATTTTGGAAAGCAACCTTACAACAACCAGTAAAGCTACTGATAATTCCATTCATATTTATTGCCAGCAATGTTTTTTGTGAATGTGTATTTTTTCTGTATATTTTTCTGTTTCATATTTTGACATGGTTTCTATTTTTAAACATCAAACTACAGTGCCCAGTGCTGTTTAGAGAATTTGCTCACTTTGTTTTTGAAAAAAGAGAATCCTATCCTTTATATCGATCGGACTTGGAGCTGAGAGTTACAGACAGGGAGGGGAAGTCTGACAGTGTCGAGAGAAAATCTAGAAAAAATACCACCTTTATTATTTAATTCCACCAACAAACCTCTGGTTGGTCATGGTGATATGGTGCAAAACACCAGATCTGAGTGAACTGCTGGAATGTGGTCAGCGATTTCGAGGTTTGGAACAAGGAAACTTCAAACGTACCTTTTTTTATACACATCGACCGTGAAATAAGAAACATCTTCAAACACTGACTTCACAGTTTGGATGCCAGTGCTTGTGATAGCATTATATTCTCATATTAAGTGTTCCAACGCATTAGCTGCAGTTTCTTCTACGTCCTGCTCTACTACATACTGATATAATATGATTCAAATATTGGAAATCAAAGCCAAACATAAGCAAAGCTTTTATAAAAATGCACTGCAGCCAGTTTTGAATATCATTTTGCCCACATCCCTTCACTCCCTCACTCTAAATGTAATTGAAATCATCCTAGACTGAAGTGTGGAATTCAATTTATAGGCAAAAAAGAGGGAAATAATTTGGATAATATGCATTTTACTATAGTCAATTTTGTAATTAATTAACCGTACAATGCCTGAGGTGATACTGTACAAGCAATTAAACCATGGCTTACATGTGTAGGTTTATAAAACCATGAGCTCAGACTGTTGCACGTCTCTGGGTAGATCATATATCCTTTCTCTGACTGTGAAGGTTAATGATGATTTCCTGACTCATTCTCCCCCCAAACCACCTGCTTTTCTCATCCCTGTCCCTTCGCCCTTGCTTACCTACATTTACTTTTCTAAATCCCCCCCACCACCACTCTTCTCTGTCACTTCCTATCTCTACGCCCCCTCTATCATTCACTCAACCATGTTCGACTCCCATGAATGTCTCGTTTTTTCCCCTTGTTTTTTTTGCTTTGCTTTTCATTTACCGTAATCAATTCTCTCCACAGGAGTGCTGTGGCTGTGCATTGTTGCGGAGTGCCTGTACATCCTCCTGCTGGCCACCGGAGGCATCCTCATGTCCATTGAGGTGTGTCAGTTTGGCAATGCCATCGATGGCCTCAAGCTCAACGCCTTCGCTGCCATATTCACTGTGCTCTCAGGTTGGTAGCATCAAAATGCGTATAGTTAAATGTAGAGAATTAGAATGTGATTTGATGATTGCACAGAGCGACATCTGCATAATATACTTTTGCAAATTTGCTGTTCTTTAACTTTTTCAAATTGTGTATTTCTTAATTTTTTTTATCTTGCACCTTTTTTGGGCAGTGACTAAGGGGGATGTTCTTTCTAGTCATTATAAAACTGGTAGACATGCTGTTAACTTGTACTTGTTGTTCTATGTGAATGTGAAATCTGTATCGCCTACGACTATTTAGATTAATCTTTTCAACAAGCCCGCATAGCGTTGGTTAGTGGTTTAAGGTAAACTGGAGACTCTAAATTGTCTGTCGGTGTGAGTTTGAATGGTTGTGTCTCTGTATGTTGCCATCTGTCCAGGATGAGCCCCGCCTCTCACCCAATGTCACATGGGATTGGCTCCAGCCTCTCTGTGACCCTCAAAGGATAAGTGGTATAGATGAAGGCTACATTTAACCAAGCTTACTATAATTGAGGTGTTGTCCTGTAAGATAAGCTCTTCATATCTTATGCTGTAATTGGAATTATTGACAGGAAGTAACCTACAGAGTTATTGGCTCATACATTTCTTACAATGTCTGTCAAAGAGAATGAGTATCTATAGTGGTGCATGTAGTTTGAGTTGGGTTAAATTGCTTGGCTCTTTGAAAGCTGTTAAGTGGAGAAAATTATAGCAATGCAATCATTGGGAATCATTGGAAGGTTAAGATGCTCACACTTGTTCACCTGCATCAATATAACAGGGACCTGTCTTCTGCCATCATCTTCAAATTATATTTGTGACGGGTTGAAATAGAATATCTAGGAGACATGGTTATTGTTTGACAGTAACTGCAGGAACGAGAGGCAGCAACTGCAAACACAGATTTTTAAAAAGGATGGGCTGCCTATGCAGTGGACCTCACCTCAATAACAGGACGTTTTCATCAACATATTACATAGCAGCATCTGGACAACTGCCAGAGAGATGTGCTTCATCCAAGAGCATTCAAATGTGTCCTATATTACATCTACATCATGACCGCTGGGAGTCCTGCCTTTGGCACACTTCAGGTGTTTTGCCTACATTGTCAGCTCCCTCCTCAGGCTGACAAGCAGCACAGGGCAGACACCTTTGCTGCCTCAGATGATGTGGACCTGGTCCCTGACAGCTACCCCCGGTTTAAACCATTTCTTTTCCCAACAATGGGTGAAAGGCAAATTACCCTTTTCCATAATGACATCACTGCCATAAGCTCTCTTGAATCATTGAGAAGGCAGCAGCCTACAACTGCCTTTATTCCACCACCGCATTACCCGCTCCAGTTGACATGATTAGCTGCTTCGCCTTGACTCAGGCAGCCAAACGCCCAGCTGTCTGACCTCACTATCTGGTCATCATATCATATTATTTGGGTCTCCACTTTTGCTGTTATCACCAAAATTGAAGGTTTCATGGAGCAGGGCTTCCAAACCCTCCTCCCCTCGGATCAGGGCAAATATGCCATGTCCTCTTCTATGTCAGACACTCAGAGGTTTATCTACATGTTATTTCTAAAGAATTGTGCAATGATGAGCCCACAAGTGCTGTCATTACGCCTCACGTTAACAGTGGAATAGACTCTTCTCCTCATTGTTAATGTGGCCCATATGAGTAACCATGGCAGACACTATGACACATGCAACTGCAGCAGAGACTTTGGCTTAGTTTGTTTCCATGAGAACTGCAGTGCATCAAGTAAATACATAGCTACTTTCAGAGCATTACTCAATGGATAAATGGATCAACAGCCTGATCAGCAGGTATTGCACACTACAGTTTTACAGTTTTCGATTTCAGGAGGACAGTGTTACATCCTAAACACATATTTCTCTATTGTACCAAAATATTGCAAATTGTCAGCACTTGCTTGATGACACTTCTAACGCACAACAGAAGCAAAAATGAAAAAAACAAAAAGAAAACTAATATTTCCAGATGATAAAGTTGTTGTGACAAGAGCTGTCAATGGTGTTGGGGTGCTGTAAACATGATCACGTGATCTCCACAGCGGAATTAATACGTCAGTACCTGCCTCTGTCTGTTGCACCCGGCTGCTCCACCGCTCGCCTGAAAAACACAGAGGATGTGATGCTGTTGTGACCACGTCTGTGCAGAAAACTGTATCGTGCATGTGTGAAAGGCAAACTCTGGATAAACTCCATAGCCAATTCTCTATATTTTACCCAGAGGTCATGTCTGAAAACGGCTTTAGTGACTTACAGTATCTGCCCTCTCCAGCCTCTTTAATGCCTCAGGATTCAAAGGGATAGCAGCTTGACTAATTTGTGCCCTAGCCCAGTGTTGACGGGTAAAGACGTCAGTAGCTCCTTCTGATCACTCGTGGTAACTTTGGATTGATTCCTGACTCCTTCTCAAAACTGTGAGGGAGAAGCCACAACACGCCCCAACCCAGTAGGTGCACTGTCCTGCTATGTTGCATACGCAGCTGACTTCTCCAGTTCTTTGCGCCTGTTTGTGCACTATAGAGAGCAATCTCAAAGGCTATTGCTGTCTGCACAGCGCCCGTCACACTAGCTGTGTGTAGCTATTTCATAGGAATATCATTCCCCAGGCAAGACTCCCCCTTATCAGGACGTACTGCACAAGGGGAATTTCATCCTCCGTGGCTTAGCACAGGGGGATGACAATAAGTGAAAGACATTTGCGCTGCAGTTTCTTGGTCTTTCTCATGCTTTTTCATCTGTGTGATGTCTCCTTTTTCTCTTTGACTCACTCTGTGCCGAGTATTTTGTCGCAGTGATTAATATTACATTTTTTTTATGTGCACTCTCTCTCTCTACTGCCTGTTGGCATGTGAAGACACACTTGTCTTCGTCCTCTGCTCCTCGCTGTCCTATGACGATGTGCAACCCTCTTTTCCACTTTCTTGCAGTATTAGGCTTTATTTTGTCTTATACTTCGCCATTCGGTGACATATAGTGCCACAGATGGGGCCATCCCAGAAATTAATTAAATATGACTGTAATCCTTTAATTAACCTTTAATCCACAAGTGATAGCTAGTTAGAAGCAAATATGAAATAGAATTATGAATAGTAACTCCAAATAAGAGAATGGGGGGATCCTTTGAGCTGTCGGCCTCAGTGACTCCTTAAATGGTTTAAAAAAGGAGATTTGGGGAAAGAACCAAGGTTAGACTCACCAAGCAGTTGGGTACAGACTACAATCTTTTTCAGTGCTACACAATTGCACGAGGAATAAACCTACTGGTTATATCCTGAAAGGGTTGTGTTTCTGCTCCAAATATCAAACAAAGTTTCTGGGCTGGTGCTAGTGCTGCTTCAGAGTTGGTTTAATTTGTGAACCTTCTGAGAAGCAGTTTGCTTTTTCACTAGCTAAAGACCACGAGCCACCATAGAGCCACCTCATTATGTCACTGTGTACGTCTCTGCTTTCCCATCCCTTGTGCCAAAATCAACAACAATGGTGGATGACTGCATTGCTTCTAGCTTTGTGAGCATCCAACCATTTTATTATCAATATTGAACTTTTCCAAATCCCATTTTTTTTGTCTTGCTGGTCATGATAATTCCACCCCCAGCAAGACGTAAGCAGCTCTTGATTTTTGACCAGCAAAGTGTCGGTGCCCCTCTCGAACCAGATTTTCTGGCCCACAACCAGATTTGAGATTCAGCTATGGGTCCAAACCAGCCAAACGTTCAAAGTCAAATTACCTGTCCCAAGATCAGTCTGTACCAAAAGATCCAACCCCTTGGAAAGCACTAATGTAGATCGTGCTGTGAAATATATCAGTTTGAATTCAACTTTGGCCAAGTATTATACACAGAAAAAAAATAACTGAGGATTCAGACTCAACAGATTCCTCTAAGTCCTTAGTTCTGCTTCTAGTTGATGGCTCTTGGTCCCTGAGCCAGTTTGTAGCCTGCCTCTCTCAGCAAAGGAATTAACAGTGACCCTCTCTCTAATCCACACTGTAAATGATCGGAGTGGTGAATCCGCTGCAAAAGTGATCTGCTCAACAGCAATGACCCGCTGCATTTTACTTACTTGGCAGGTTAGCGAATATCTCAATGAGCTGTAGGCTGAAGAATTGTACCCCCAGTATATTTTATGTCCACACATTGGCCATATTTTTGGATGTTTAAAGTTTGTAACATATTTGTGTCTATTTAATTAGAAACACAGAGGTAGTTCCAGTAAGGCTGCATTTTGACTTTACACCTTACAACTTAAACTTCTCAACTAGAATGAATAAAACAATCACATATGGAGCCCATTACATTTTGTCAGTTCTACCACTAATAGTTTGATTATTCAGACTATTTTTTAAGATGAAAACACCCTTCAAGATTAAATGTTAACATTAAAGTTCTGTTCTTTTGGAAACTGTACTTATTAGTTCTTTTCCGAGAGATAGATGAGACTTGTTTTCCCTGCCCTGCCGCCATAATGGGAGAAACATATACGTAGAACAAGGCCAAGGTTGACACGCAACAAAGTTTTCCTTCATGTGTCTAATGGGTTTTGATAGACTCTGGTCAGTGTTGTATTCCTGTAGCTATCTTTTGATCAGGAAGTTAGAAGAATCATTAGTGGGTGTACTGTTTCTGCCGAGAAAGGAAAGGCCCTGATCAGCCAACTAGTTTAGCTGTAGACAATCTTGCACACTACACCTCTCTCTCCACTGGCAAAGGTCTTAACAAGCTTTTTCGGAAACATGGCATTTTTAGCTGAGTCTGAGGCTACATATTGATCAGTTAGGTGTTAAAGATTTTCCTGCTCTGAGGAATGCTTTGATTTTTAGACAAATTACAGAGTCAGCTAAGTGCTCTTTGATCTCGTTGTGTGAGGCACAGCCTGTTCATGTGAAACAATGAACAGGCTGTGCCGTTACTGGTTAAATATCCCTTGGTCTTTTGTCTTACTTGTTTGGCGTTTCATTAGTGTCACATGGAATTTA